GCTCTCCCTCGCCCGCTCCGCTCCGCCAGGAACCGGATATCCGATTTATCTCTATCTCATCCTGCTTCTTTTTTGTATCCCATCTTCCATCTATCCCCGTTCTTTTGTCTTTGTCTTTCGCTCTAAATGAAAACATAGATCCAAAAGAGAGATTTCATCACAAGAGGTTTTCGGTCTTGCTGGGTATTGGGTCCGATGCAATATCTCCTCGGCTTTGTCCGGTAATTGACACGGGCGGGTCGTGCTTCGGACATCGAAGCCCGGTCATGGGCCGTTTATCGAGGCGTAATAGCCGAGCAGTCACCGGACAATCGCTTTCGTCAATCTTGCATCCTCTTTAACCTCGAGCAAAAACCTCAACTCTTCCGTTTTCTGGACTCTCCCCGTCATTTCTACCATTTTGTCCATCCATCTACTGACCACCACCGCCCATGATCTTGGGCAGCGATCGCCAGCCCTTCTCGTTGGGAAGCTTAACCTTGCCAAAGTCCTCATCAAGATCGAGGATCACTTTAAGGGCGTTGCGGCTGCGACCATATGGACTAGTGTCTAGGCTGCCCTTGACCGTCGACACAGCATCTGACACTCCTGTAGGAATCTTCTCCTTCTGAGTGCCAGGCATGGGTAGAAGAGTCTGAAGAACTTCATATGCAGCAAGGGTGAAGCCGAACTGAGGAGAAGATCGGAAAATACGCGCGGGACCACCCTTGAAGAAGGCAGTGAAGCCCTCCTCCTTCCAGATTGTCTTGGCTGCGTGTCGAAGACCGTTGTATGTGGCCTCGCCCTTGCGGGCTTCGACCTGAAGTCGGGTCTTGATCACATCACAGGGTGTCGTCAAGTAGGCAGCGGGCATACCGGCGATCGCACCAGCAGTCAGTAGCTGCAAAACACCCAGCTTGTTGGTCGGAGACTCGCCAAAGAAGTCCTTCTTGAGATGGCTGTAGGTAGGGAAGTAGATGGCCGAGAAGGGAACGTCACGAAGCAGACACGCCGAAGCACCCTTGTACAATCCAACGAGACCCAGATTGCGCACGATCCACATGGCCGATCGCTTCGGTGTTCCTTCGACGGTCTTGGCGACCTCGCCCTGAACTTGGAGTCGAATCTTGACAATCTCGAGAGGGTTGGTAAAGACCTGTGGTAGGCTGGTCAGTGGCGCTTCTATCAGGTTATGGATAATTTGGTGGACTTACAACTTGGCAGGCACCAGCAGAACCACCAGAAATCATCTCGAACAAGACTGTAATGTTGCCGTTCTTATCAGTGAAGTACTTTCGGGCAAGATCGTTCACGGTCAGCTTGATGGCCTTCTCTGGAGCAACACCAACCAGCTGGGGTAGCACGCCCGAGTAGAGACCACGGAATCCCTCATTACGGATGACCTTTTGGAAACAATCAATCGAGTTCTTGTAGAGGCGCTGACCGGGCTGGGCGCCTCGTTGGTTCTGCAGTCGCGTCTTCACCAAATCAATGGGGTACACCATGAAGGCACCAAAGGCACCAGCAACACTACCCAGAGCAAAATTGTAACCCGAGGTCAGAACACCCATCAGAATACCACCACCGGCAACCTTGGCCTTTGTAGCCTCGACGGCGTCGTAGATGGGGTTCCGCCACGAAGGATCAAGGACCTTAGCAAAATCAGAGAGTCCCAGGCGGCCAGAGGGTTCATCGAGACCGGCAAAGTGGAAAAGGATATCAGCTTCCATTGGCGTGAAAAGGGAGAAGCGTGTGAGCTTGGCAGCCTCGTTCAGGAACTCAGGACGAGTGATCTTGCCGTCCTTGCTCTGGTCAATGGCACGGCGCAAGATGAGCTCAACGAGATCCATCCCGCCGATGACGTTCTGGAAAGCGCGCACATTGGCGTATGAAATCTTAGAACCAATGGAGAGGTTGACGAGAGTGTGCAGATTGTCAAGAATATGCTCAGACAGCTTGTGGCGGGCAGTCTCGACAATGATGCGCTCAAACTCCTCACCACTGATGAAGCCATCGCCGTCCTTGTCAAGCTGGTGGAAGGCTTGCCGAATGCGCTCGCCTTGGAGACCGCGCAACATTTGGCAGAACTGAGGATAGTCGAGAGGGTGCCGGTGCTTCTTGTTACCAATGTAAATCTTGGCCCAATCGGAGTCCCAGTCGAAGGTTAGGTTGTCGGGGCCCTTGTTGAGCTCGTACAACGTGCGGAAATCGTCGTACTTGACAGAGCCGGTGCGCTCAACGTCAAAGAGGCGGAAAGCGATCTGATACTCGGCATCCGGCTTGTTGAGGAGGTGCTCGAAAATACCCCAGTCAGCAAGACTCACTTTGCCCTTGCCATTGACATCCGCGACGCTGAATAGAATGGAATATTGATCACGGGAGATCTTGTGCTGTTTTGGGAGTGGTTAGTAAGTCCTTGCGAGTATACAAGCTTGGCTACAGCTTGCTTGAAGCAGGAGTGCGTGACTCACGTAATCCTCACCCTCGGGCACAACAGCGTTGATAAACTCATCGGGCCCGAGGAACAGTTCGCCTGTCTCAGGGTCCTTGATAGCATGCTTGGTGAAGCGCGCCTTGGTGTGGGCAGCAAGCTGTTCAGGTTCGTGTGTGCCGATGACGGCCTCCTTGACGGCCTCCTTGGCCACAGCAAGCTTGGACATTGTATATTGTAGTCGCTCGGAGGGGTAAAGAAAATCTCCGGAAAGGATGGGTCGAGTTCACAGCAATTGGGTTGTCGGAAATAATCGAGCGATGCTCAGCAGGTCACAATCTGGATGTCTGAGGTGACTCGGAGTCGAATTAGTTTCGTAGTGTCCACTGGCAAGTGGTCCGACAACGGCTAAGCACGACGAAATTCTCTGGAGCAGCGCAAATAGCAGAAGCTAACAAGAGGCAGAAAGAGGTGCAAAGGACGAGATTTCCCTCGAACGATCGAAGTCAGCGGCAGGGAGAGAATGTCGGAGACGTATCGACGTAGCGAAAGGGAAGCGAAAGGAAGAGAAGCAGAAGCTGAAGAGGAGAGCAAAATGCGTCAATTGGGGAATTTCGAGATGGAGCGAAAGATGAGATAAATTTGCTATTCACTGGGCCATGCCAGGCCAGGCCGGTGGTTGGTCCGGGCGGGGGGGTGTGCTGTAGGTAGCGGGTGTGTGTCCGTGTTTTGAGCCTGCCCCAAGTATCTTTGAGTATTGCACATGACTAGAAATACCTGTTATTTGTGTGTACCTTGGCCAGCAGCTCCCTTCCATAAAGGTACCTAACCTACCTTACCTACCTAGAATGTGTCTTAGCTAACCACTGCTGCACTTGCTTCTTCCTCTGAAGCCCGCCAGGTTGGCAGCTGGAAGCGCACCTCTGGAAGCAACGTGGGGCTTGGGTGGTCTGAAGTCCGGACCAGCGGACAGGTATAGGGCGGACCGCTGCAACCGCGCTCACGTTTTTCTTTGTTCTCTTTAAATCGATGCCTTGCCTTGAAGGCCCTCAGGTAAGCAGAGTATTGGACAGTCAACGATCGAGGAATCTCGCTTCATTTTGGCAAGTTCAGGAGCACGCACCAATGACATGATAGCAACAAAGGTCACCAGTATCAGTCAACGATCTCCAAAGCGAATTGGGTGAAGATAGTGCCCTAGAAACTACTGCCCAGCTCGAGCGACGGTACCTTGAGATACATCTTCTCCTCTGGGTCCGTGGGGGGGGCATACATATCCATCTAATGGATCTAATCTGTGGGCCCCTTCCAAGTTGGCGCATCCCGGGCACCTCCTGGGCAAGGTCTTTTAACGAGCCTGGATATCAGTCGTTGCCTCAAAAGTTGAGCCTCAAGAAGGATATCATGGGTCAACTGCCAGACTCCTGAACGCCTCAAACCCACACAGATATCAGCAACTATGAGAATACACACCTGATATAAACCGCGTACAAAGGAAAACCACTGAATATGCTATCTCCAGAAGAATGCCGCTTCTCTTCCGTAACACCGGGAAAGCTCCCTTCCCCGATCCCGGGGTGGCATATCGTTGTGGAGATGGACCCCAGGACTGACCCGCCTAACCGGAGTTCGGAGGAGCGCCAACTGCTTGATTCAGCACAGTCTAAGCTACCTATTTTGTGTTTCTATTAACGATCCTGAGCATAAGACGTTCTCATGCTGTGGATATATTGATGAAGTGTATGGACGGCAAGGCAATCATTTCTGATTTTGAAGCAGTGACCGGGTTTGAATCTAGAGGTCATATTTCGTTGCCCGGACTGACTTGGGTTCTATTTCTCTTTCTACCCTTCCGGGTCTCGCAGCCTTCTCTGACGTGGGAGGAGCGAGTCCCTTGTCTTCCATGAGAAATGTCAAAAAATCATATGTGCCGCGACGGTTCCGCTGGACCGTAGCGCAATCTATCATGTGCAGGTAATGCAGATTCTTCGGTACGGGGTCACAATGATGATCCCCTGATAGTGTTTAATAAAGGCTTCTGATGTAAATTGTTGCTCACCTGTTCTCGCCTAATACACGATATCATATGCCCCAGACTCGGAGTCGCGGAGGGTTTGCCCGCGCTTGCGACTGCGGACAGCATCCATGTTTCCAGAATAGCAGAAGCCCTCCCTCAATTTCTTAGATGTCACATGGTGCCGGTGGACTCTCTAGTGCAGCCCCGAGACCTGGTCATTTCAAGTGGAATCTTTCTTCAAGCACACCTAGGTCACGGGCACATCTCAATGCTATTCTTTAACCAAATTTGGCCGAGGTGAAACTCCAATAGAAGCCATCTTCACCATGATTTACTGTATTTTCCATGTTGTTAAACCTCAGCTTCTCCATCAAGGCATGTAACTTGCAGACCCGATTAGCAGTTTGCTGTCGCTTGTAAGGCTAACTTGCTCGCGCGCCTATCAGAATACCTGCTGCCGCTTTCAAGAACCCTGACTTAGATATCCATGTGCCAACGGGGAGTTCGTATAAATAGTCAGGTAGGTACTTGAGTCTACTTCTTACGACTCCTATGGTATTGCGGAAGCCCGAAATGCCGGGAATTCCCGGTCAGCAGAGAGCAGCTTTCCCCTGGGCTCTACCACGACTAGTCCAATGTCTATCCCTTGTTCTGATCTTGTTAGTGGGCGCTCGTACCCATCAGGCAAGGAGAATCCTCCGTGGGGAAATGTCGGGGTTTTTGAGCTAGGGTCGGGGTAAGCTCGCCCTTAAAATATTCCCTTCTTCGATGTGAATAAAGTTAGCGATAGGTTTCGTGATCTTGTTCATTAGTCCGGTAAACATAGATCTCCCAACATGATAGAACTTGCGTGGATGACAAGTCGTGTGATATCAACATATCTTGTCTAGCTTGAGCGACATGCAAGATGCATTGCACGACGAGGGCAAATAGATCTACGTTTTTCTATCTCGGTATTTATACAAGTCGACCGGCAGGTGACGGCTATGCATTGTAGGAGATAGAACCCGCCTTGAAGAATACTAGATGCGGAAGTATGTTTCTCTGTTGACGAACCACTCGGTAGGTATGATAAAGACATATCCCAGCCTAGGACTGAAGCAGCAAATGCAAAGCGCCGCTGGTCTGACGTACTAAATGGCACAAGGAACATCAAGTGACAATATTGAAACAAGAGAATTGAGGATTAGATACCGTACACGCGTCCAGAGCCTCTACTAATCTATATGCTACTGTAAATGCAAACTTGAGGCCTATGGGGTTGCTGGCGATAGTGACAGTGGTGATCATGGCTGATTGTATCTCCATCCCACTTGCTCTGGTCTATGGTCGACTCCATTCTGCTTGAAGTCGCGAGCCCCCCACCACTCAAAAGGCCAGCCTCCACCAACGGTCCCTGAAGAATCATCCATACGCCTTTGTCCCTAGTCCATATCCCACTTACAATTGCATATATGCAGTCGCATGTATGTAAGTTGGTGGAAGAGACCGTTCCCCCAAACGCCGAATTCCGAAAATGTATTAAACCAGCCAAATAGGCAATAAAAGATGATATAATCGCAGTCGCACAATCATGATATTCGTAACAGTCATCCAGAGTCGTTATACAGCATTTGTACTTTTCCCTCCGCTGCTTTCCCCTCCCTACATGCTCGAGAGTCCAGGGTTGAGGCAAGGCGTTTGATGGAGAAGAGGAGTCCAGGGGGTAGCATGTGGGGAGTGTCGCCGCTCATATTAAGTTGTTGTGTTGTGCCCAGCTACGGCCGGGTATTAGTAAAGAGTTCGCGTCAAAAAGAACCACCGTCTTGAAGAGATTAGGGCAAAAAAGAAAGCCCAACCAAGAGCGAAAAAAACCCTAACTTGAGTCGAGACAGAGTCTGAGGTAGATAATCAGGGCTTGTCCGGAGCGGGCCGCACATGCTATTCCGGTCCGGATGAAGTACTAAGGATACTCCGGTCCGGTCAAGTACCGACGCAACGACAACAACAGTAAAAGCACCTCAATCGCCGGTGTGACAGGTCGCAATGCTCGACGCCAGGCTGGAGAAGAGAAGAAATGGCGAGAAGTTTGTAGGCGCTATGCACCAGAAAGAACCCCCACAAACATGTGCCAGCCAGGTCATGATGGCTTCTTATCCCTCAATGGGAATGAGTTGGGGCTGCGCGAGGGACAACTCAGCACTGCCTTCGCGATACCCTTGAAGCTCTCGGCGAACGGGAGATAGCTGGTGAGGAAGAGTGAAGCCAGTATCGAGAGCTTCTTGCACCAACAAAGACGCTCCCTTATACCGGCGGTCCGTATACTTTTCAAAGACGGCGGCGTGGTGCTGGTCCGGACGATCACAGCATTCGATCATCATCGTCACCAAGTTCTTCAACTGACTCCAGGTATAGCCCGAGTAGAAGACATGCTGCTTAGTCTGCATTGCAAGTTAGCATGCGCAATATATGAGCATAGTCATGACTCCAACTTACCCAGTCACCCTTCTTGAGAATGAGTCGAGAAAGACAATGTGCACCCGCAGCCAGGAAGCTAGGGGGGGACGCCACGAAACGCTCGTCCATGATGGTCAATTCCAGGAAGTACTTGGCCAGAGTTCGAGTCTCAAGATCATAGTCATCAGCTTTGCTAACACGTCGCAAGAAGCTCATGGGCCCTGGCCAACCCAGCTCGAAGCTCAGCATACTAAGCATGAAACGCTCGGCCTTCAGAACCTCGTCGGCAGTGTAACCATTGTCAACCATGTAGACGATCTCACCCAAGGAAGGACAGTTAATCTCTTCGTACTTGGAGGCTACCAAGATTGCGGTGGCACCGACAAGTTGAAGCTTGCCAATTGAGACGATCTTTTGGGAAAGGAAACGGTCGATGTAGTTGACTGTCAGGAAAAGCGTCTCAGGCAAGAGACCAAATCGGTTGTGAACCTGTACCAGCCAGTCCATTAGGACTGATCGCATTGACCACTGAATCTCGGTTTGGTTATCCATGTAGTGCGCGTTAGGAAGCATTCTGATCTGCAAAATGTTGTTAGTTTTGATATTAGAGCAATACAAACATGACTCTTTACCTCAAGCTCGCGCATATACTCAAAAATCTCGTCACCATACTCGGCAACCATGCTGACATCCCAAAGCTCTTCTTCGACCTCGTCTTGTGTACGAGTACGCTCCACCTCTTCACGTGCATCCTCGAGTTCGCGTTGGACGCGAGCTGTCACACGAGGCAGTGGGACAATTTCCGTAGCACCTCCAGCGGTCATATCCCGTGAGCGAACTGAGTGGGCTGTTGTATATGCTTGGTCTTGGTCATCAAAGTCCTCGTCATCGGCCTCCTCCCAGCACTCTTCAGGCTCTGACATGGCAGGGACAGAGGGGTCATAAGAGATGGGGACAATGGGTTCTTCCTCAGATATCTCAGGCAGTTTGATGTGTGACTCGGGATATTCCTCCTTCTGAAGCATATCCAGGTCGACACCGGTCTCGATAGGGAGATACATAGAATCAAGGTAGGCGCCTTGGTCGTAGGGATAATCAGCCTCCTGCAGCGACATTACAGCAGGGTTAGAGGATTTAGAGTCAAGCTCAACATCCGCTTTTGGCACTATCTTTTCCAGCTGCTTGCTTTGGGTGCGACGCAGACTAGCTTGCTGTCGCTGAGATTTGAGCTGAGGTTGGCTCTTATAGTGGCGAGGCTGAAGAGCAGGGGCATTCTGAGTTGACGGAGCAGGAGCCTTGGTGGCATTGTGGGTATCTTTCCTGACGTACGTTTCTTGAACGTTGTTACGCGATGTCTTCTTGTTCGCGTCTGAAGACTTATTTTCTAGGACGGTTCGTGTCGACGAGATGTTGGGTAGCCTTTGGGCGGGACGAGAGAAAGAATCTTTGCTATAGACAGCGTTCTCCTTGTTTAGCGGCGCGCCGCCGTTGTTGTTGTTCACGCCATTCGATGCATAAACCTTGATCGATTTACCTTCATCACGAGTGTATACAGCCTGCTTGCTAACATTGGTCATATCACCGAAGGCGGCTCGCTTCGCTGGACCACGGAAACCGGCTGCTGTGTTTGTGTTTGCCATTACCATATTTCCTGAAGACTTGTTTGATTGTTGAAGATGGGGTGCGTTTTCTGCGCCGCGCGGTCGAAAAGGCTGAGGAATATGATATTAGCTTACAATTTTGTAACGGGTACTGGTATGCATCGCGATGCAAGGGAGAGGTGGCTGCCAAGTCACGGCAACGGTAACTAATCAGGGAGAGAGTGTATGACAACATACCCTGGCGTCCATGGTGACGTTCAAAACTGAGGGTTGCGTGGATGAAAAAGGTTGATTGATGTGGTAAGAACGCGATTAATAGGATGCTGGTGGTCAAGGTCGCGTACGGATGCTGAAAGGATGTTCTGCTGTTTGAAGTCGGCGCGTTGATTTATCATCTAAGATGCTGCAATTACAGTTGTGATGGCAGTTGGCAGGCGACGGGTGGCTTGCAGTGCTAGGCCGTGTTGACTCTTCCCTTCTCGGTATCGACTACTGCGCGCAATATGTTTAGGATGCTATCTCAGGCTGCGTCGAACATTGAATGATGAGGAATCCGGGGAGGAAAGCTTGGTGAACAAGGCGTGTTTGGTGTTGTTGTTTTTATTTCTCAGTAGGAACAAAAGAGGCAGCAGCAGGCAATAGCTTTGGACTGGTGGGTGTTCGTGAGATTAGGGGCCCGGGCGCGCAGGGGGGGCATTGGATGGGGAGATTAGCCCTGGTAGAACTGAGCTGATGCTCGTCGAGATCAGCGGTGATGATGGCAGCAATAGAAGCCCTAAATGCTCAGGGCGTTGGAGGGAAAATGGGAATGAAGGGGTACAGAACAAAGGCAGATGAGAATGCGGCGATGATGGAATAATAAAGGTACCTCCGAAGAGCTGGGTCTGAGGAGAGCATGCACATTCATCCACATCCTGTTCGTAACTGTGCAACGGGCAACGGGCAACGGGACAACGTAAATGGTTGTGGAAGCCTCATGCCTTGCCAGTGCTGAGCAGAGGCTGCGACTTGATTGGAGCGCTGGCCCCAGCGGCCCCACTTTTTGCTTGATGTGAGATTTTGTTTGTTTGTTTATGCTGCTAACCCTCAGGTACGACGTTATTTTTGGCCCTTTAGTTCAAGGAGAACAAGCTCACTAAGCTTGGTGAGGGATGGCGCACGTGCCGCCACCGGGCTCTGGCTCGTTTCCAACCTGTCGTCACGGCGATGGCGCTTTTCCCAGCACTATACTTGTTTTGGAATAGCATAACCTTATCGAGCTTATCTCGACTTACGTCGCGTCTCACTGGAAAAGTTCTTTAAGACGTTGACGTCGTTTATGTGGTGTCTGAGACATTGAGAACAAAAGTGATAGCTACGTAGTATGTGCCTGGATCTTGAAGGTACAACTCATCTTGATTTATATAGCGATCTCTCCAGTGTGCTGCATAATTAACCAATCTTGATCGTGATTGCTTGACAATCTCTACCGCGTCTTATCAAGGTATCGGATCGCGCCAAACGAGCACGGTTTCACGTGACTCGAAATACGCAAACTCAACGGCATCTCTAAAAACCTCATAGTACTCCGAGAATAAAGGAAATCTGCCGAGACCTGTCGCGAATTGAGTCAGGGAGGATCACATCCTCCCCTTTCCTTTCCGAGACCGCCGAGACAATCCATCGACCCGCACCATCGCCAAGTTTTCCCTC